AAGGAGGAGGAAGATATGGATTGCGCTTGCAATGCCAACGGGGTGACCCCGGTTACTCGAAATGAGCATTCGAGGAGACGACCTCGCGATCGTGTTCGCGTAATCAGGACCAACGCAATGGACGTCGTCGCGAAAACGGCGAAGAAGAAGAAGATGAAGAAAGAGTGGAAGAGGAAGACGAAGACACAGAAGATAGTGTATACAGGGAACTGAGGGCGCGAAGTCCTCGCAGGAGGACTACAGCACGCGAACGAGAGTTGAAAAGGTGGATCCGACGCTGTCGTCAAGAGTGCGAACGACGAAGAAGAGCACGATAATCGCAAATCAAAGTTAAGTGCTCTTTATATATTTCTAAGAACTTGACAAATTTTGATCTAAACGATTATAATTTCTTATATGTGCATGTGTAAGAGTTACTTTTCATAAATTTTTAAATCTTTTCAAAATTAATATGAATGTAATCTTTGAGATTCTAATATTTCAAATTCTTAAATAAATATGACTACTTTAAATTTACATAACATATCGAATATTAATTAGAATAAAAATGCAGAATGTTATAAATTTTGAAATAAAATAGGATAAGAATATAATACCTTTTCGGTTGTTTAATGAATTTATTAATTAAGAAAATTGGTATCTTTATAAAAATTAATAAACAAAAATTACGCTATGCAATTTCGATAGTTTTAAATTTATTACAATCAAGCTTGCCAATTTCGTACAAGATATTCGGTATCATTAATCGCGATACAGATCTCTTTCATTCTTCGGTGGGAAAACTCCCACTTTTGCGAAACACACAATATATTCTTGTGTCGATTAATAGGAATTAACAATCCAGATTGTAAACCATATAAAAGCGCTTCTTGTACGTAAAATTTTGCGCGCCTTCGTCCTATAAGCAAAGAATAATAATAATAATCAAATAAGCTAATAGAAAAAAAGAAGAGTTTTTTCCACTATATTTTTTAATTTATTTTATAAAATTGTTTTCTTTTAATATTAAACAAGTTAGTATAGATAAATTGTAGAATTGATATAATTATTTAATTAATACCTATATTTATTTACTATAAATTATATTTATTAAATATAAAATAGATAAAAGTTTATATTTAATAAATACAATAATTATAAAATAATTTTATACCATCGCGAACAGCTTTTGTGTAATCGGCGATACATTCTTTCGATGAGCTTCTAGACATCCTTTTGCCAAGTCCAAATTTATTTAACTTAAATTTAAGAGTTTAACAAGGCTCTGTAATATAAATATAAATTTTAACGTATAAGACGGGCACAAGAGCCAAATCGCGGATGACAATGCGTTATCCTAACGAAACTAAATAATTTTTCGTTAGAATTAAATACCGGTGCACAAGGCACCAAATTTTTACTTGGACAACGGCCAAGATTTTAAATATGAAATAATCTCATATTTTGAGATTTAATTTCAATACCCCTTTAACCCCCCTACGGAAAATAATAAATGAATGCAAGAGAAAAATATAGATCCGAAAATCGCTGAATCGGGAATCGAACCCGAGACCTTTCGCTTGCCGGGCGACTGCTCTTCCAGCTGAGCTATTCAGATCCTTTCGATTCTATACTTTTCTCTGTTATATATATTAATGTTGGTAAACAAACGCATTTTTTAAGTCAGCGTGTATCAAATATAAGAGTTTTAACAAGGCTCTGTAATATAAATATAAATTTAACGTATAAGACGGGCAACAAGCCAAATCGCGGATGACAATGCGTTATCCTAACGAAACTAAATAATTTTTCGTTAGAATTAAATACCGGTGCACAAGGCACCAAATTTTTACTTGGACACACGGCCAAGATTTTAAATAGAAATAATCTCATATTTTGAGATTTAATTTCAATACCCCTTTAACCCCCCTACGGAAAATAAAATAAATGAATGCAAGAGAAAATATAGATCCGAAAATCGCTGAATCGGGAATCGAACCCGAGACCTTTCGCTTGCCGGGCGACTGCTCTTCCAGCTGAGCTATTCAGATCCTTTCGATTCTATACTTTTCTCTGTTATATATATTAATGTTGGTAAACAAACGCATTTTTTAAGCCAGCGTGTATCAAATATAAGAGTTTAACAAGGCTCTGTAATATAAATATAAATTTAACGTATAAGACTAAGGGCAACAAGAGCCAAATCGCGGATGACAATGCGTTTATCCTAACGAAACTAAATAATTTTTCGTAGAATTAAATACCGGTGCACAAGGCACCAAATTTTTACTTGGACACGGCCTTTTAATTTAAAAATTTGGTGCCTTGTGCACCGGTATTTAATTCTAACGAAAAATTATTTAGTTTCGTTAGGATAACGCATTGTCATCCGCGATTTGGCTCTTGTTGCCCGTCTTATACGTTAAATTTATTTATATTACAGAGCCTTGTTAAAACTCTTATATTTGATACACGCTGGCTTAAAAAATGCGTTTGTTTACCAACATTAATATATATAACAGAGAAAAGTATAGAATCGAAAGGATCTGAATAGCTCAGCTGGAAGAGCAGTCGCCCGGCAAGCGAAAGGTCTCGGGTTCGATTCCCGATTCAGCGATTTTCGGATCTATATTTTCTCTTGCATTCATTTATTTTTTTCCGTAGGGGGTTAAAGGGTATTGAAATTAAATCTCAAAATATGAGATTATTTCATATTTAATCTTGGCCGTGTCCAAGTAAAAATTTGGTGGCCTTGTGCACCGGTATTTAATTCTAACGAAAAATATTTAGTTTCGTTAGGATAACGCATTGTCATCCGCGATTTGGCTCTTGTTGCCCGTCTTATACGTTAAATTAACTTAATTGTTCTCCAAAATTTCTTCCTGAAATTTATTCGAGGTGTCGGTGCGGCTTGTCCATGAATACTTTTCTTTCTCGCGTGTTCTTTATAAAATTTGTTGCACGCACAGTTTCGCTCCTTCCATTTTTTATCTCTATCAACACATTTATTCAAATATCTATACACTAAATCGAATACTGTCGATCTCTCATATCCTGCTGAGGGAAGTATTCCCTCGCCAGTTTGCAGAGACAGCTGATCTACTTGAATATGACAAACATATAATATTAAATTCATATATTGATTTTATTGTTTAATTTTGCAGCTATTCAAGAAGTACTACAAGATACTATAATATAAAAGTCATATAAAAGCTTATATCTTTCAACATTTCAATATTTTTTATGACAGTTTCAGCATAATTACTTGAATTTAGCGCGATGACTGTGTATATTTTTTAGAATGATAAAATTTTCTTCTCTGGCCATGATAAAAAATGACAAATATATAATAGTCGCAAATTAATAATTTTTACTTTATACGAAAAATCTGGACAAAAAGCAAGATTTAGATGTATTTAATTTAACGATATGTTTCTCTTGAATTGTGCGTTGTTTTTTCTTTTTGTTTTCTTTTTTCTTTTATTTCCTACATCATACAAATTACAAACACGACGAAGAAAGAAGAGAAGAGATAAAATGAAACAAAAAACGAAAATTATATTTTGCAGAAAAATTTATATTATCATTCGAGTTTAGTCGGTAAAAAATTGCGCAAATTTTTTTTACCATTTATCGGTATCGTCTTTGCTTATTAGTTGCGAAATGTTTCCTCGAGGCTAGTTGTCAATGCGACTGCCATTAGTTTACATCATGGTTGCCCCACGATCATCCCGCAACTGCAACTCCGAACAATTTGCATAATGTCCCATAAAGTGAGTACGTCGAAAAAACTTTGAGCTGCATATTATCGAATCGTATACATATTATACTATTCTCAATCGCATCGGAAAATTTAAATTCATCGGTTTTTTTTTTAATTGCGATCGCGCGTTTGACATTTTTACGGTCAAGGCTTCTCTTTGCATCAACCTGAAATTATTGACATTTCTTATGAAGCTACGTAAATTTTGTAGATCATTATAATAAGGCGAATATAGATTTTTGTATTTACTGCCATTTTAATCTCACTATGCACATCCCTCGTTAACTATAAAACGCATGACTCATTGTTTTGATGTTTAATTCGAACATCAATGCTAGCATGATGTAATAATTGTACCGCGAACTAATGTCTAAAAATTAATGTCATTTCTACACAATTCTTTTCATATTTTGTGTTTTACAAATATGGAAATTACAAAATAAAATACATATATATTTAAAATAAAAATCAAAATTTTTGTCTCTTAAATGCCTGAATAAATAAAGTCTATTAAATTATAAGATAGTTTTTCATAAGATGTTATTGCAAAAAACATTGTACTTTATCAACTTATTCTATATCTTAATCCAAGTTTTGTTATGTGTTTTTTTTACTATATTAATATATAATTACTTTATTGTTTAGGGAGCTACTAAGAAAACTGAAGTTAAAGATGAAGTTAAGACACGCATGCAATCAAAATCAAAAGGTCTATCAAGCAAGGATAACAATGTGGAAACATCGAAAAAATTGGAATCTAATCTTCCAAGAAATCTCAAACCATTGAGCGTAGAGGAGATGGAGACAGATCAAAACTATTACAGAACTCTATAACAAATAAAACACAATCAACTAGAAGTACTAGTAAACCATCTGTTGGATTTTCTCAGATTAAGACTGTCAAACAAAGTTCTTCATCCTCAACATTGAAGTCTAGTCCACATAATGCTTCATCTAGTCACTTATTAACAAAAAAGAGTACAAACTCCAAACTAGATCTGAAAATGCCATTAATCGAGTGACGACAGTACAGTCAAGAAGAGGAAATCCGAGAGAAGCAGGATATTCAGAGAAAAGAGGTCTTAATACAGTATATATGTCAATCAATCACGAGCAAGTTAAATGTTAAATCTAATGAGAAGATTGTACCTCAAACATCGACAAACAAGGAAAAATTGCAAGATTCTTCTGTGTCTGATCAAGCTAAACGACAATTGTCATCCAAAGAGCGTAGAAAATCCAGAACATTAAGCCCTAGTGAGATAAGAATGCTACATAGTGCTGTAAAGAGACCAGAGAAAGTGAAGAAAATAGAGCAGAAAGAAGATATTACAATAGATGCAACAGATTATCCTGATGCACAAGCAGATTTAGATCAGGCAGACTATGATTATGAGATGATTTTGAGGTAAGGAAAGAGAAAGAATTTTAATAATTTTAATAATCTTGTTGAATTGCATGTTAACTTTAAAGAATTTGAAGATCGAATTGAGATCCTAAAATTATGACTACTTCTTTCAGGATTATGAATCGGACTTTCAAGAATGCACAGACAGCGATAGTTCCTCGATTAGCGAAAAGTCGGATAGTAGTGGAAACACTTCTCCTTTAGAACCCATTGAATTGCGCTCCCGAGAGAAGGTATTATTCAATATTATGTGTGTGTATATATATAATTTTTATAAATATCTAATTTTTTATATAAATATCGCAGAAGAGCACGGAAACACATGTAAAAATTGAAGAGGAACGTATGCTCGATTCGGGACACTACGATCTCGCGGAAGCGAGAAAACGAGCAGCGCGAGTAGAATCTATGCTTGTAAATCAATCCAACACGCCACCGTTACTTGAATTAAGAGACCAGTTGGCAAGACGTTTAGGTTTGTGATAACTAAAATCAAATATCAAGACAAATGAACGAATACTTATTATCTATGAGCGTTACAACTTTATGTAGCATTTATTGCATGTTTTTGCTAAGCCGTTCTGTTTTGAGAAAAATAAAAATGTGTCAATCAATTTAACGCATTTGCATTTATTTTTTTTAGCAACGATGACAGACCGATAGAAAGTAAATCTTTACCGTCGTCTGCCGATGAAGGTTTCGAGGATAGTCGCTCTGGGGACTTTATTAGATCCCCGCCATTATCACAAAGACCACTTATCGAGTCTCATAAACCAAAAGAAAACCAACTTGAAGAGGTAATCCATTTTCATAAAAGAATGTATTCTATGTGTAATTTATTATGTATTTTTAAATTCTGACGCATTTGTGTGCTTTTTTTGCAGAAGAAAGAAAAACCTCGAAGTAGAGGCGAGGAATTATTAGAAATGATAAAACTGGATTTTATGGAATGGTCGCTTTTAGAATGCAGCCCGATACCTTACGATGAATTTATAAGAAATTACGGAAAACTAAATACTCAACAAGTACGTATCGTTTTATATAAAACGCATTGTATCTTGATTGATGGTTTATTACATATTATATTTTTTATAGGTGTTTACTCAAACTGGCGACGATAATATGGACATCGAGATACAAACGGACGAAATACATAGTACAATAAGTGGACGCAATTTCCCATAACCTGTAGAAAAGAATTACGTGATAAACGAGATATAAACTTATTTAAAATGGTAAATAATTCATTCTCTGCTATTTAGAAAATTGGATATAAATCTAACAAAAAATTAATATTTAAATTTTATAATTAATTTATAATATATAATATACTATTATATAATATTCTATAATATAAATTAAATTAAAATTTTTCATTAAACTTTGCAGGAACAAAATGGTGTCGGGAACGATTTAGACGAGTTGGATGACGCAAGTTTTCCATTGCGGCCATCGTATGACGTATTACAGTTGAACGATTTTCTTAATCGCGCGGGCGCAGTCGTGCTGTCGTTACTGGAAGAGAAGGAACACGGTTGTACCGTTTTCCAAAATGACGAAAACGGATTATCATTTAGTGATGGTTTCCGTGAAACTCTCTGTACATTCAGTAACGTTTTTAGCTTCCAGACCGATTAAAATTATACACTATTCGAACGTCTCAAACAAGATTCTGCTCACTATACATGCTCCTGTAGAAGAAGTAAGTGAGAATATTATATTATTCATTATGATTGAAAATAAACTCTTTTGAAACAAATTCTTTTTTTTATAGGAGATTGAAACCGTGAGCAAACAAGATTACATTACCGATTGTTGCATCGGATGCGTGTGGAACATTTCCGAACCTTCGATGCCAAAGAAATTATTCTATTCGCAATGCCCAATTACCACTTGTTGTTTTCATTTAACGAACTGCGACATGGTGTTCGCTGGACTCGAAGATGGGTATGGCTCGAATTTTTCTTTAAGCTTTTTTATTTTTAATATTTTTTTCATAAATTTAAAAATGAAAAAATAAAAATAGATCACTGAGTCTCTGGGATCTGAAGGACGATGAAATGTGGCATCAGAAGATTACGGATAAAGCTAACGAGTTGGATTGGATGATAAGAACCCCTACTTATACGACAACAGCAATTACAGAGTTAGATGCACACACATCACAGGTTGTTGCGATACGCGTCCTATCTAAAATCGAGACTACTTCCGCTAAAGAAAGAAACAACAAATTCGTCCCTATCCAGGTTACCACTCCATCATTTATTATAGTATTAACGTTTTCCTGTAAATGTAGTTCTACTAAATCCTTGCTTGTTCTTGACGAATTTAACAGATATGTAGCTTAGACGAGGATGGTTATCTTATAATATGGAGTATTGTACATAATATGGGTATAAATATCGACGACTTGGGACTCTCTCATTGGGGTAACATAAGACTTGTAAAGAATCAGAAAATGTCTCTGATGGAAAGAGACAAAGAGATGTAAATATAATAAATATGAAAATCTGTGTCGTGGTATATATACCCAAAATTTCTAATTAAATTCGACTTTCTTTTAGAATGAATACATTTATCGATATGCATGTGGACAGCGCGAGTACAAATAATATTTATGTCGTGACTAACAGCATCGATGTTTTGCATGCTACTTGTATCGGTAACAAAACTAATCCATTAATGTACAAACCAACCGAAATAAGTGAGTCGCAGTTTGTGTATCGCATCAAATAACATCAATGATAAAATTATTAATTATTTTAATTAAATATTACAGGTGAATGCGGTAGTTCAACTTGCATCGATGTCTGTCCTTTCGATCAATCATTTTTCTGGGTAAAATTTCTGCCGTTTATAGTTTGAAAGTTTATTTAATTCTTATCAATTTTTGTATTCTTATTTGTGATCTTTATGTTGATTAGATCGGTTGTACCGACGGAACGATTCGACTTCATTACTTAAATACGGAGAGACCGATTGTACAACTGAAAAATAAACAGTATATAGATAAAATTAAAACTTTGCAATGGTCGAAGACGAAACCGCTAACTATATACATCCTGGATATAATTCTCGGTAAGTTCTTTTTATAAATAAAAGAAAAGAAGATTATTGATAAACAAATCAGATAATGCGATAAAGAAAAATTATAAATCCAACAGAATTCATGTATGGGACTTGAGTAAAAGTGGATATCTGCCCAATACATACGTTTTCTATGCAAAAGAGGGAAAGATAAGTAGCATACAGTTGTCCCCTTGCATGATAGATCAAGATATGATGAATCAATACTTAGTAAGTTTGAGGATTAAATAGAGTCTATACTTCAAAGAGATTTCTGTAGATTTTACATTTCAAAACATCTTTTTAGGCTCTTGGCACGGAATCTGGTAATGTAGAAGTACACAAACTGAAAAAGGGTTCTATTATTCGAAAAAAGAAGAATTTTTGCAAGAACTGAACGTGTTCTCGCGATATGTCTCGGTTCCATAATAACAAATGGACTCGTGAAAGAATTATATCGAAGGGCACTAATAGAAAACAAAGATCAGTTAGAATTGCAATTATCAATACTTTCGAAGAAAGTGAATAGATTCACGAATTTATACTTCCAATATATACGTGCACTTACAATGCAGATAATTTAGATATTAGATATCGTTTCAATACCAGTTGAAATTAACTTACATTTTTAATTGATATTTTTAACTGAATAAGAGACAATCTTGCATATTTCGAAATTAATTTTTACAAGACAACATGTACTAGCAATATTTTCTAATGAAATTAATTTTTTTTGAATGTGTGCATTGAAGTACGTTTGAAAACTATTAGAATTTTGTACACTTTACAGAGGCTAGTTGAGTAGCGAGTGAAATTTTTGCACACGTATCTTTCTTTATCACAATTCCGTCCGGAAGAAATAAATACCGTCCAATGTAGATAAATAGTATTTATAACACATTTATATATACATTTCTTTAATATTGTATAAAAATATATAAATATAAGAGAGAGGATAAATGAAATAATAAGATTGTACTGTTGATATGTATGTAATAATTTTTATATAGTCTAGACGATTTAATGTCACGTTTTTTAATTACAAGTAATTCATTATTGATGATGCTATCGGAAAAGAGTGATAATTCTAGCTATAAAAAGATAAGCTAAAATATAGAATAAAATTTTTTTGCACTTTTGAGGAAATTTATTTAAAAAATTGGACAGTTAATAATATTTTTCATTATTTTTAAGCTTGGATAATTTCTGACACTATTTAACGTAAACATATAATTTACAAATATATTATATAAAAATATATATTTAAATTATATTCTCGCAAATATTAAAGTCTTAAAATATCAAGACTATTAAAATAAAGTTTCTTAGAAAAAATCTTATAAAATTTTAATATATATTTATATATACATATTTATATATATTTATTATAAAAATTTTATATATTTTATAATTTAATATTTATTGATAAATTGAAATATATTTATAATTTAAATATTTATTGATCGCGCAAGCTATTAAGTTTATCAACTTACGACACTGCATATCATAAAAAATTATACAAGCTTAAGATAGAAAAAAGATATTATTAATTTCCCAATTTTTTAAATTTTATTTTCTCGAAAGTATAATTTTGTGTAGAAAAAAATCTATTCTTTTATCTAAATCTAGTCTCTTGCCGATTGTACCATCAATAACAGATAATTCTATTATATAAACCGCGATCTCTTCGCAGAAAGCATGCAATTCATTGTCAACAGTTCAATAATCGACTTAGAACGACAACAATTACACATGAAGAGACAGTTCCCAGGAAATGAGAGATCCATGTGCTCGCGGCACTGCAAATTTCTTGCTTCATGAAATTTTCTACGACTTCATCGTAATTGCGTCCTCTCAGTACCTGATGACCATGTAACTCTAAATGACGCGTGCCATCCTACAACAAAACAAAACTTTACTATTCATCTATTCCAATTTTATACTTCAGAATCTTTCAGAACGTTATTATATTTTAGTATTTTTTATTAAGAAAAAAATAAAACAACATCGACAATTTTTTTTACTTGCAAATGACACATTGTATGAAAGGTACTCTTTTACATGTCAAAACCAAATTTACCAGTATTTGATTCACACATATAATGGACGCATTGGGCAATGCTTCCTTTTGTGGAAAATTTGAGAGAGATAAGAATTTTGAAGTTGCAAAGACACATTTTACCAACATGATATGCGATTATTGTTCCTGGATCAACGAGATCTTGGCCAGAATTAATTCCGAGACGCAGATTAAGAAGAGAAAAAAAATAATGCCGCGGGTGGATCCGGTTGTTGTTGTTCATGGAGGTGCCGGGAAAATTCCTCGATACGCGCAAAAATTTATGCTCGACGAGGTTAAATAATTTGTTATCTATACCGAACACGAAATGTGCGAAAGTTTTATAAAATGCAAAAAAAAATCGATATTCGACAAATGGATGCAGGTGAAGAAAGCCGCTGTGATAGCGTATCGCAATCTTCTTAAGGGATGCTGTTCGTTGGACGCAGTCGAGCATGCAATTTGTCACATGGAGAGCAAAAAGTATTTTAATTGCGCGTACGGAGGCTCCTTAGATGCTAATGGGGAGGTCGTGATGGATGCTGCGATAATGACTAACGATTTACGTGCTGGTTGCGTAGGCGCCGTCCGAAATATAGCACATCCTATAACGTTAGGTCTGTTGTTTGTCAATAATTGCGAAAATTTTTGCCAATTAAATGTTTATTTCTTTTCTCTCTAAAGTAACCTGTTTAATAAATTCACATTCTTACAGCCAAACTGGTCCTGCAAAATACGGAACATGTGTTGATAGTCGAGGACGGAGCGCAAAAGTTCGCCTCGGAATCAAATCTTCCTACATTGTCATCTGGTCAGCTGATTGCAACATTTGATTCAAAGACGTTACACGAAGAAGATGATGGTAATTAATATAATATAATAAAGACAGAAATAAATGAAAGAAATAACTATATAATTACAAAATATTAATTATGAAATTGACAATGTCGAATGTAAGAAACACTGAACGATACGCGAGAGACACAACAGCTATTACAAGATGGACAGAAATTCGATACAAAAAAATGTATACCGGAATGTGTAATTGAAAGACAAAAAGGAGACGAAAAAACCTCGGAAGTCGAAATGATTCAATCAAACGAATCTTTGATGATCGAGCCTAATATTTTACAGGTTCACCAATTCATCACGTTCTTGTAGATCTATATTCATACATGCGTAAAACGTTCAAGTAAAAGTAACAAATAGAATTTTTATAAATTTTAAAATAGCTAGAGAAACTCTGTCTTTTATAGATTTATGGTTCGAAGAGCATATTAAATTTACAATTTTTTAAGTGTATATTATTAGATATATGTAAATTTAAACTTCAAAAATTCTTAATTTAGTTACATCTAACATGGCACTTTATAAATTATAAATTTAATCTGCCCTTATTTTAAACAATTATAATTTATTTAAGAGGATTTTTCCTGCGTCTACTTTAAATATAAAATATGAAAACTAAATGAGAAAAAGAGTGTCTCTTTAAACAAGTTATAGACCTAGATCATTTTTATGCTCTGAACGTTTCATTCTAATTGCACAAAAATATATTTTCATTTTGTAATTATGCTATATGTAAGACATGATATTAGAAAGAACACTATTAGCTCGGCGCGGTCGGGGCGGTGGCGTACGACTCTAAAAAGCGTCTTGCTAGCGGGACTTCGACAGCTGGAGAAGCGGGAAAGCTGTATGGAAGTGTGAGTGCAACCGGAACGGCAATCGGTTGTGGCATTTACGTCGATCAGGGTGGCTCGGTGTCCATCTCGGGTTGCGACGAAGCTATCTATAGGTGCGCACCGGCACAGCGAATTCTACGGCGATGCGAGGCGACGTCGATCGACGAAGCGGTTTCCGCGATATTACGGGACTTTAAGAAACAGATCGACGTGGGCGTGATTGCAGTGACCGCCGAAGGAGTGCCGTTCGTGTCCTTCAAGTGCCCACACTTTCCCTGGGCGTACTGCGACAAGGGCTATGTGTATTACGGATGCGCAAGAAACGAGAAATTCTCAGAGAAGCTCGACGTCCTCGAACGTCCACTAGACTGCGTGTGCGAAGATTCCGATTAGCTAATCAAGCAGAAGATTCTACCAAACTTGAACAAAATCACAAGTTGCAGCTCCAACTCAATAGGTACATTTCCGTGTAAAATTTTCTCGATATTTCGACTTATTGTTTTGTTTAAACCTTTTAAAACATAGGAGCGAGCTTTAAAAGAGAATCAACTCCTAACAGTACGTATGTCTGACAGACGTTCAGAGAACATTCAGAGGATGTAACATATCCTCTGGATGTCCTTTGAATATCTTCTTTCGGATATGTGTGCTGTGAAAGACAGTTTGAAGCAAAATTATCAATCTTTTTTGTGATTGCTTCAGTTTTATCTTCTTAAACTCCTAATAATAAATTACACAATTTTATATTTCCAGTATTCCATGTTTAACTTACGGGAAAAATAACGCCATAATTGCCGTCGTAAGGCCCGTACAACGAAAACGCAGGTGTCTGTCCGCTGTATGTCTTCCCAAACAGCTTATCTATTTCGAGCAGCATGGAATATATCTCCTGACGTCTTAGATCCGTGATATTCTCATGTGTTACTATCTATCAAAACAGAAGAAATACATTTACAAGCAAAATTACAAACTGAGACAAGAAAAAGGGAAAGTCTACATTCACAACAACACACGTAACATTAAGTTGCTGTTAAAAAGAGAGAAGAACTACCGAACCAAGAGTTGTCCAAGTGAGTAAATATGGAGCTTTATGCGAGGTTTCTGCCAAGGTTGGACCTAATATCCTGTACTTAGGTTTCACATTTATATTCCTATGATCAATCTTCTCATAAGAAAAATCACCTGCAATATTATAAAAGGTACGTATTAAATATGTAACATGTAGAAATAATATAGAAAACATTATTAAACTGAAATAATCCGTGCAACTCACCGATTTTTGTCTTGCTTTCTATAACCTTGAGATTGATGAACGCAACGTCGACGACACCCGAAGTTAAATAATCGAAGGCATCTAAATCGTCGTTCGTTCGGTTCGCATCTGCAAAAAAATCGTATCTAATTTTGATCTACTCTTTTTATTCATATATGTCATCTATATAATCGTTTTTATGTGATTACACTGAATTTATTAACTTCGAAAAATAGTGTTTTATCATTCGCGCATCATCATATATCATTTGTATTGCTCTTATATATTAAATGTCGTTTTCATTGAATCGTAAAATTTAGATAAGATCTGCCACGTGTTTCTATACATATATTATGTATGTTCATATCTTTATGATCGATGCTCGTTTACGTTTAATCGCGATTGTGCCATCATATCTTCTTATACGTACTTTCTTTACATAAAGAATGCAAATTAGCTGGAAGCTCTTCGTAATGATACCAATCGAGAACACAACTGTTCGCGAAAAATTTTGCAACAGCCTGCGCATCGGAACAATCCCAATTTTTGCTCGACATGTTCCTCATGAATGTCACAAAAGCGTTCCAACCTGACAAGACATCAATAATTAAAAAATTAAAAACAATTTAACGATTGAGAATATAAAATTACATATATATATATATATATATATATATATATATATATATTTTATATTTATATCATATTACATATATATGTGTTTATATATGCGTATATACATGTATGCATAAAATCGCACCGACGCTTCTGTAGCCCGTGAAGGCTGCTCTAGCATATTTGAGATCCTTTATAGTCTTAAACCGGGAATTAATTTTTACAACTGCCACGATTCTGTTGACTTCCTCTTTTACGTTAGTCATCGCGTGGACGATAGGCTTCAAACCCTTCCTACGAGAAAAGCAATCTAAAAATAAAAGGGAAAAACAATTTTTCCCTTTTTATCTATCGTATCTCTCCAATGACATGCTTTTCGCTTACATCTTAGCTTCGAGAAGGTCCTCGGGTCGCGCCATAAAGATGTCCATTACTTTGTTCTGTACGGCCTTCAAGCACGAGTCGCTATTTTGCTGGAAGCAGTTGATCATTGGTTCCACACCATAAATGATGGAGGCGTCTTTCAGCGTCTCGCATTTATACAATTCGAGATCGTTTATTACGCACCATCGCACCGTTCTTGAAGGTCGACAATCCGATTGAGCATAAGCACTCATGAAATTTGGGACTGTAATCGAGAAATGAGTCGCGTTAAAACAATACCAAGTATTTTATACCTCTTTCAATTCCCCAAATCTTAGTTAATTAAGCATTAAATTAATAATTAATTTAATAAATTCTTGATGATAGAGATCACAATCGCGTTCGGGCAGCTTATACACTTGTATTTAAAAAATGTATAATTTAAAAGATGTTAATCTGGTGTACGAGAAAAACTGATTTTATCCAAATATGTAAAACGCGCAATTTTTGCAAATGTTATTCAATATATATATATATATTCGAAGCTAAGATGTAAGCGAAAAGCATGTCATTGGAGAGATACGATAGATAAAAAGGGAAAAATGTTTTTCCCTTTTATTTTTAGATTGCTTTTCTCGTAGGAAGGGTTTGAAGCCTATCGTCCACGCGATGACTAACGTAAAAGAGGAATGTTATTCAATATATATATATATATATATATATATATATATATATACACGTTACATCGGGATAAATAATCGGACGGTACTTCTAGTGCGTCTACGTTGGCCGAAGTGACGTAATAATTCTCCATCAGCTGCAACAAGCTGTTTTTCCAGCAGAACGATGTGTCGACCATCGAATTCATCAAGTTGGCGATCTTCATGGCACTTTCCCTAACGAGAAGATAAATGGTTTTCAAATTTTGCGTATTTTTAAAGTATGAAAATTAAAATCAAAGAAACATAAATGACGTTGTACTTACGTTGTAGATATGATGACCTGCCACGGTTTTGATAGCCAAACGCACGGTTGATCGAATGCAAGCGGTTTTGTGGTACCGTCCGAGCACAGAAACTTGAAATCCTGTGTATCGATTGTCTCGGCCTGCATCAAGCCATGGCAGATGTTAATACCGCGTTAGAGAATCGCGCTACAATCCGTCATAAACTTCTTTTAGATCGGCATAACACGTGATCGGTTCTTCCCAATTACACAAATTTTTTTCTTTTTTTGTTAACTCGAGATCAAAAGCAATGGGATCGAATAAATGGACGATCCTTACCTTGAAATGCGCGCGAGCGTCATCCAATCTGACCCAGGCGATGTCACCCACGTTATCGGTGAGACATAATAGAGCACCCTCCCGCCCATAATATTTATCAGTATTGTAACAACTGGACGGATTTTCGCACGCAGCACAGAGATTCTTGTATCTTGATTCTGTAACACACGTACACGCGCGAAAAAAAACATTACTAATAATTACACTTTCCACAGTTGATTAATATATGAATTTTTGTATTTCTAGAATTACATACGTACTCAATTGATAATCAAATATCGCATCCGACGACCATGGACCAGCGATGCAAGCCACTTCAAAGAATTTGGACAAAGCGTGCATTCTGTTCTCGAATAGCGTCATATTGAAATTGCATTCTTTGGGAATTATCAAATTTTCGAGATACTGAAATATACGAGGGATTGATAATATGTCAGGTAAGGGCAACAATTTAATTTTAATGTGCTTATGTAGAAAGAAAGGCTCGCTAACCGTTGAAAAAACTGTAGACCAGTCGTTGACAGTGTTAAAGCCAGGATGACATAATCGCTTGCCTTTAATGTCCCATGTGCGTTGTACACTTTTATGCGCTATGGCCACTATTTTAAAACGCTCCGGTTCTGAAAAAAACGTGTCTTAAGAGATTGCTATAATTTTAAACGATAGACTCTTAGCAAGTTTTTAAATCAAATTATATGTATATAAGAATATATTATTTTTAATATTTAAAACAGGGATTAATTTTGATAAATTAATATATATATATTTATCAAAATTAATCCGTTTTAAATATTAAAAAAAAATATATTCTTTAAATATATTAAATAATCCAAAGTATGAATATTAAAATAATCCAAAGAATAAATGATAATCTGAGTAATAATTTATTTTGGAACTTAGTTATAAAACGTACTGAAAAATTGTTCGACATTTTTGTTGAGGAAAAAAATTTGTAAAAATAAAATATTGTTCATTCCATATACATTTTTATCTTAATTACCGTATTGGATGAGTTTTAATTCATTTGTGACTAGAACGTTGTATAAGTAAGAGTTTTTTATTGCTACAAGTTCTTCTGGCTCCACTACAGTGAAATCGACCTCACCTTCGATTATGCGACGTAAACAACTGAACCTAAATTACAATTATTTTTATATAATAAGTCTGCTTGAAATGAAAAAAGGAAAATTAATCGAGCTGTGCAATCGGTTTTCTTAAAAAAGTCATATCTTCGTAGAAATCTATAAGAAAGACTCTCATATTTCTCTCAAAATACTCTTCATAATGTTATATATAATATGTGTTCATATATTATATTATTATTATATATAATATAATATTATAATTATCTTTTAACTGAAAAAAAATTTGGAAACAATTATCATCATGATAAGTAAAGAAAAGAAAATATAACGGAGATATGGCTTCTTAAAAAAGAAAACTTTCAAGTATTGACTAAAATTTCAAAACTTTCATATTATCTACGTGATACTTGCCTATCGGGTTCTATAATACATTGTATTGGACTTTCAACCAATTTCGGACAAAGTAAAGCAATTCTTTTTGAAGTATGCTCGCTTTTTACTATGCATAGTCTCCCTAAAACATATTACATATTATTTACTCTCATTTATCGAAATAATTGAGAATTATTTTCAATTTCTTGATATTTGTACGTATGCTTTTTTATGAGTTGACATCTTTTTGTACAATTTTATTAATATATACTACAATATTATAAAAACTGTTAAAAGATTTTCCTCAAAAAAAAATATTTTTCTTTGCGATTGTGCCTCGTGAAAAGAAGAAGAACGCGGAAAGCATCAACTAATAGTTGACCGTATTTACAAGCTTCCAACTTCCTTTTATAATGAAACGATAACTTGCGTGATGCAATTAGCAATTTTACAGTTTACAGTTTGCAGTTTAACAGTTAACAGAGGAACTGGCAATATTCTTTTCGTGACACAATCTCATTATTACTTTACTATGACTAAATAATTTTTTCTCACATAATATTTCGTGGAAACGCGATATATTTTTCTTTACATACAAAAGCGTCGATAAAAAATATTTAAAACATTTTTTATAATAAATATTATAGTCTAATGAAAATAATATCATTACGATTTTAATTTTACTTACATTTTCTCTCAATATTGACAGATCCGTGGATATTTACAAAGATGAATGTGAAAATAAGCCAGTGAAACATACGGAAAGCTATGCTCGACCTTGGATTTGTCGCCATCCCTTTTGAAAATAAATATCCTTTTGTTACATAATTCTCTAAACAGCGAGTTTTCTAATGAACGAATCTATGATTCGCGATTCATTTAACACTGCTTTTATATAAAGGCTAATCATATAGTGTAATCAAGTTATATTATGATAAACTTATCACTGACAATGAGTTATATTTTCACTCGGGCCAGCATGCATGCAATATCGAACTTACTTGTGTATATTAGAAATGTCACATATAAGTAATTTTAACAAATTATTATTCTATAGACGTAAAAATAATTTTATCTCTTAAAAAAACTTAATATTCTTTTATATATTAATATAATTATATATTTAAAAGATATTTAAAAAAAAGTGTTTCTAAATAATAAATTTTCAGCAATATTTGTATATTTGTTGCTATTATTCACATTATCTAATTGATTTTACAACTAATATTATATTTTAAGCAATTTTTAATTCAAAACATTGCAACTGTCCTTTTTTAAAGAAGATAGATTCGTGTTGTGAGACACTCTTATTTATATTCTTTTCCTCATTGTAAAATCAAACTATTAATATTGCAATTATTATTTTAAAAAATATTAATTTTTTAATAATAAGATCTACAAAACAAGTAAGAATAATAACATGATTTTCGATATAAGAGCACGCACTGCTGACGCCGAATATAATACGTAGTATACTTTCGCTTTTTAACCTTGAGACTTTTTGCTGACAGAGAATACCTCTATTATATAAAACTGTTAGTCGAATCGATCCAAATTTTACTAAATATACGCAAGTCGCAGTCTGTTATAATTCAAATTTCAAACCGAATGTTCACTTCATTAGTTTCACTCCACGTGTATTTATATCGTATACACTATAAACATTTCTAAGCTTCTGAAAATATATTCCTCGACAAATTCTTAAACTGTTGAATATTTAAATTGTTCAAAACAATTCTTAAAGTAGCTTGAAACTTCTAAAAATATATCATAAGATGTTCGGTTTTGTAAAAGCGATTCTTTCTGAAGAATATTTCAATAATCTCTAAAAACTCACCTTTAAAAAAAGGTAAAAAAAGGCGACCAGTTAAGGGCACGCCATTAACAAAAATTATCCATTGCAAACCCATGTAGAATCCTATCCTATTGCAAACCCATGTAGAATCCTATAAAAAATTAATCATTGCAAACCCATGTAGAATCCTAGGCAAAATTAACCATTGCAAACTCATGTAGAATTGTATTAAAAATGATCCATTGCAAACTTATGTAGAATCCTACATTGCAAACCCATGTACAATAGAATTGTATGAAAAATTATCGATTATAAACCCATGTACAATCGTAACAAAAGTAATGAAATAAAAAAAAATTGCGCCAAGTGAAAGTAGAAACTTGTACCAGTGGAAAATTAAAGTTGCAGACATATATAGAGTCGTATAATGAATCAGTAAAAATTTAAATTTGCAAATGTAGAATCGTACCATAAAAAAACTTATCTTTTAAAAAAAAAGATAAACAAGATGCCAAGTCCATGCGCCATGTAAAAAGAAATAAAAAAATTTTAGTTAAAAAAACTGGGCGCGCTGCTAAGTTTCAAAATTACAATGCACCTTAAAGTAACATTAATTAATTTAAACACAAAACATATTTTAACTGTAATGAGTTTAAAAGTAACAATTTAATTTTAATATTGTTAGAATATTATTTAGCAGCGCTCCCAGTTTTTTTAACTAAAATTTTTTTATTTCTTTTTTACATGGCGCATGGACTTGGCATCTTGTTTATCTTTTTTTTTAAAAGATAAGTTTTTTTATGGTACGATTCTACATTTGCAAATTTAAATTTTTACTGATTCATTATACGACTCTATATATGTCTGCAACTTTAATTTTCCACTGGTACAAGTTTCTACTTTCACTTGGCGCAATTTTTTTTTTATTTCATTACTTTTGTTACGATTGTACATGAATTTATAATCGATAATTTTTCATACAATTCTATTGTACATGGGTTTGCAATGTAGGATTCTACATAAGTTTGCAATGGATCATTTTTAATACAATTCTACATGAGTTTGCAATGGTTAATTTTGCCTAGGATTCTACATGGGTTTGCAATGATTAATTTTTTATAGGATTCTACATGGGTTTGCAATAGGATAGGATTCTACATGGGTTTGCAATGGATAATTTTTGTTAATGGCGTGCCCTTAACTGGTCGCCTTTTTTTACCTTTTTTTAAAGGTGAGTTTTTAGAGATTATATCATTCATTTTTGTATATTTTTATGACCGGAATAGAACAATTATTAAACATGTTTATCTAAACTTCTTTGCTTAAAATGATGTGTACAATCATATCCTAGAATCCTGATCATTCCTCCTAAAGCACCCTATTTATATAAATTTACCCATATGTGTGTGTGTGTGTGTGTGTACTAATGTCGAGCATTTTTTATACATTTTCTATTAAATTTAGATAAAAGTTGCAGGATTTCGAAAAAGAAAAAGTTGACACAGACTTTTTCCTAAACGGCGATTTTCAAGGTTATTTAAAGGTCACTTATATTTTCAAAATAGAATTACCTTAATTTTTCTCATATAAATCGATTCCTCGCAATATTTACTATAAAAAGTTGTAAAGGTATAATTTTTACATAATCTTACATAAACTTCGAAATATTACAAATATTTTATTCTATGAAATATTTCAGTTTATGTAAAATTATGTTAACTATCTTTTAAATTATTCACTTTTAGCCATCTTACCCTTACAACCTTTTATAGTGAATATTGCAACAAATTGGTTTATATATATAATATATATATAACATCAGTTATTATTAATTGATGTTTACATTTATTTTTAGACTTACTAGAGCTCTAATGCTCCACATTTTTTGCAAAAACTGTTTATTCTACAGATTTCAAATATGCTTTTAAATGATGATTGAATATTTCCTTTTTTTAATTATTTTTATTATTATTTTTCAATCTCAATCAACTTTTATAACTTTATGCCAGCACGATACAAATACATGTGTCTTTATTTTTTTTATTATTTTCATTATTATTTTTCAATCTCAATCAACTTCTATAACCTTATGCCAGCAGGATACAAATACATGTATGTCTTTATTATTGTATCAACTCTTGTCTTTTCCATGTAACCATGTCTTCATAGTTTGAATTATCCCTTCATCTTCTCAATCTTTCGCAGAGATTTAATTAATTAAATACACTTCACACGAAATAAAGTTTGCTGGAAGATATACAGCAAACGATAACTGTAAAAACATGATTACGTGGAAAGAACAAGAGTTGGTACAGTAAAGGCAAGTAAGTAAGTACATGTAATGTATCGTATTGGCATAACGCTATATCCGCGGAGCAGATAATGTGGCTGTAGAGGTAGTCTGCAGTGCAGCTAATGTGGACGTAGATGTTGATTGAGATAATTGTCTAATATAAAATAGAATTTAAAAATTTAGTTTAAAAAGCTGTTGCATATATAAATAAAGTTTATTTTTTCTAAATTTGGAATATGTTTAATTAATTAATTTTTTAAGTCTATGTTTAATAAATTTTTTAAGTCTGTATTCAATAATTTTATTCATTTGATAAATACATGTATGTCTTTATTTTGATATGTTTAATATAATTAGAAATTCATTATTAATTAGATATGTAAACTATAAATTCATATATAATATTTGAAAATATATGTGAATATTTAAATTTTTATCTTCTCCTTCCTCTCCTTCAATCTCTTTAATATCAATATGTGTATGTGTGTACACGCGCGCACATTTGTACGTATTTATTTAATTATTGGATAGTTGAGAGTACTTAATTGATAAAAAATTATGACAATAATAATCCTTGTTTTTTTTTCTTATTATTTACTCAGATTTTTTTGTCTATCTTATAAGATAAACACTTTAGAGATTGAATATTTCAAGTAAACTAATTGTAAGTAAATTTCACATTAATGCATATAGATGTTTAATCATGAATGTACTAAATAAGTACACAAGACGAACAGTGAGTGAGTGAGTGAGAATGAGAGAGTGTGTGTGTGTGTGTGTGAGAGAGAGAGAGAGAGAGAGAGAGTTAGCCAACATAACCCCGCACGCTGCCGATCATGAATGTACTAAATAAGTACACAAGACGAACAGTGAGTGAGTGAGTGAGAATGAGAGAGTGTGTGTGTGTGTGCGTGTGCGTGTGAGAAAGAGAGAGAGAGAGAGAGAGAGAGAGAGAGTTAGCCAACATAACCCCGCACGCTGCCGATATGGCGGAGCGCCACTATCGCCATCTGTTGTAAAACGTGCGAGATGGACAAAATTACCACTACATGCATCTTGCATGTGTTGTGTACGTGTGATATATGTGTGCGCATGTGTTGTATACGTGTGAATACGTGTAGCACGATACTACTATGTATGCGTGGTCGATGATGATAATGATGATGATAATGATGACGGGGACGTTTCTTAATAGAAATTTTTCATATTTCGACTTTGCATTTATATATCTCTGCTTACAAATCACGTAGAGCAGAAATAAAGACACTTTTATTATATAATTCGAACTCAATCTATCGATTAAGTCTAGTATAAACTCGATTGCTTCAGCCATTATTGAGGATTCGAAATATTATAAAGACTCAAATGTCCGACTCGCGTTAAGATACACGGTGTCTCCGCTACGCCCTTAACTGGTCGCGAGACACTACCGTGTCTCTTGATTCGAAGAGCCGATTCCAATTTTTCATCATTGCATACCTTAACTCTATATCGAGATTCTCATCATACATGCGGTAGGCTGCGATTTTTCACTTGTCTTGTTCGTTCTTGTGTCCAGATGCGTTCAGCTAAGAATATGTCTGTAGAAGATGATCGGACTTTGAGAATATATCATCCAACACAATCAAGCATGTGTAGACAAAAAACTTACACTGAACTTAAAAATCTGCAACGTATGTTAACGAAAAGACGAGTGACGACCGATCGAAATCTTCCGACTGTCCGGCGACTTGGATCGCACACAGCTGATGCTCCTTACTGCTGATCCGACCGATTTCGTCCAATATTTGCGTGTGTGTGGGATGTAGGAAACTGGAATCACATTAAATCTGGTGGGAGAGAGAGATTGAAATGGGGAGACTTCTGTATAATGTACGTTGCATATTATGTTGCGAAAATTACATTGCTCGTGAGAGATAGAACGATGTTTAATAGGAAATACTTTAAAGAGTTTATATCTAGATGATTTTTTTTATTTATATAATTCTGAAAGATTATAAAAATGTTTGTTTTTATAATTGCTGTGTTTGATCTTCGATTTCGCAATCTTTAAAAATACAGATTTAAAACACATGTTACCTTTTATTGTTAGATGAACGAGTGCGTGTTATTATTTAGTATTTCGCTATCGCATTGTCAAAGAACGATGAAGAATTAACTTCGGATGAATTGATTTATCACTCAAGAGATAATTAAAACTTTGAATATACTGTGCTGATGGATATCTGGAATCATAAGAAAAAAATTAAAAAACAGAAGTGTTAAAAGCAGAAAAATGTTAAAAAGAGAAAAGTTTCTTGGCAAAGAAAATGTATTTACATGTTTTTCTTGCCATAATCGATTCATTTATAATTGATAAAATATATAATTTATATGCCTGTGTTTTACTTTCGTATATCTTTTGGAGATAAGACTACTTATTTATCTCAATTTTTTGATAGGAATAAAACTAATTTATATGCACATATATGATTTATACTATTCATTAGTAATATCGGGAATTAATCTCATTTGAAAACCCATAAATTTTATTTTCTCGTATACATGAGATTAACAATACGCATACATACTTTTAAATTAATTGAAAAGAGCTTATATACAAAAAAGCCTTTTAAATCTATATTTTTACAAATATAAGATATATATTAAAATTAAAGAGAAAATAGATATATTTTAATAATCTATTAGAAATATATAAATTGTTCTCGCTTTTTTCTATTTGCATTTAAATAATAATATAAATTAATTGTGAATATTATCAAATCAACAGGCATATGTATTTATATGTATAACGCAAAACTGAGAGATTATGACAATTATTACTGATGAGTCACGATAATTAGCAGCGAGATAAGATTTCATTATTGTCCTTGAATCTGGAATTAACTTCTGTATTCTCATGTTAAATGTACTTTATTTGTAGAAGAGAATAATATCGTAAATCGTAAAATTTCTTGGAAAAATTAAAATTTATGATTAGGAAGATACAATCATATAACAATATATTATGCGTTGTTAAAGAGTTAAAACAACTTCTCCATTCAGAATATATTCGTATACATCAAGAACATTAATTATTATCTAAGCGTTTTTCAGCACTAATTATCATAAAGATAAAAGTAAATATTCAACAGATGAGGAGAGTCGGAAATTCCTACCTTGTAAAAACAATCAAACGCATATATATAATGAGAAAACATCAAAGATCTTTGAATAGCTAAGAGAAAAATATATATGTATATGATATAAGTATAGCATGTCTTATATTAAAATTTTAATTACATGACTTTCGAGAGAGATACTATGCAAGATAAATTTATAATTTCTATTTCTATCAATGAGATAACTTGTGTCGTTATCACGTTCTCGAAGATAATGATACTGCAGCTGTCAACTGATACAAGGTATACACACATATATTTCAGTTACGAGCAAGCGTCTTGCTCAGGCGCAGCTCCTTTTATACATTATGTAAATCGAAAATGCTATGTCAGTTTATTATTCAAGTGTACTATTTATCGAGATAAAACAATAATATTTTATGTAATGATTGCTACATTTTTAATATTTGGTAAAATTTCGAAATCAAACTTTGCATTGTAGTCAAATAATATACACACATATATATATATATATATATATATATATATATATATATATATATATATGTATATATAAAATTACGTAATCTTGTTCTCGTAAAAGCAATTGAAAAAATTTGCATACAATGCATCCAATATTCAGACGCGAGAAATATGTCGATTAAAAAAGTAGTCTAATAAAAATTGTGATATTTACAACTTTTATATTATATTGAAGCATATATATCAGAAAAATCTACCTATTTGAGAAACTGCTCTTTTCTGCTCTTGTTTTATCCCGCCGAAGGATGAATGCACGCATATGCGTATCATTTTTACGTGCAGAAAGTGCGTAAAGTGTAGTTCAGATAGTGACAGATATTAAAGTATGTATTTTCGATCCAAACGCACACATATTCTCCGACATAATAGCTCCGTATCATTGACAGCATGCTACTCATCAAGCGATTAAGAGGCATGAAAAATGAACGGGGGCAAACTTCTTGCGCTGAATATATGCAAGCAAACACGGCGATAATGTATTATATTGAGTGACAAGCAGCTCTTTCTCTCTCTCTCTCTCTCTCTCTCTCTCTCTCTCTCTCTCTCTTCGACTGGAGACTAATATTTGAGTGACGATCTCACAAGAGAGTGACGAGAAACGAACGTGTGCTTATAAAGTATTTCTTTCGAATAGAAACGTCGAATCGTGCGTAAAACGTGTGTGTCGATGTTTGACAACAAACAGCTGATCGCAGTCAGGCGCGGCGCCATTTTGGATGAAGTGTTTGAAGTTTGTAGAAAATTGAAGTTCGACCTTTTCGATATACTGTGATTTATCGCGCATAAATGGCGATGATTCAAATTCAAATGCATACGTGATATTAAATATATAATTCTCACGGAAATATCAAATATGTTTGTAATATTCTGCTTCATCGTATGTAATATATTTGTAGAAAATTCTACATGAGATTTTATTTTACAGGTAATGTTTTTCAATGTAATTCGAATTTGACCTCGCCAGATTGTAAATAAATATGATTGCATTGTAACTTTAGTATCTTCCTTAATATATATATAGAAATATATTTAAAGTACGAGAGAGTGCAAAATCTTTTGGACATATATCAGATTTTATTCGAATATCATGAAGATCAATTATAGGCAATTGCCTGTAAAGGCGCACTATTTCTTTTTTATGGCAGGTAAATAATTATTTAAATATATAATATATATATATATATATATATATATTATATATATTTCTATAAGAATTTTTATTTAATTTGAAAAACTTTTATATATATAATATATATATATATATATATATATATATATATATATATATATATTCTCATATTATATAAAATATAAAGAGACATGCATTTATAATATGAATAAATTATATAAATACATAATATAAATTTAATATATAAAATAAAATCTTTAAAAAATATATGTATAAATTAACTTACATGAAAATATATATACTATATTTAAAATATATAATATTTATGTCTTTATGTGTATGTATTATTGACAATCTTTAAAATATTGAAAATTAATTATTAATAGTTGAATCAATTATCATTAGCTATCTATATATGTATATTGCAAAAAGATAATGATAATTATTTTTTATTTTAGCTATGGGTCCTATTTTACCTTTTCTTCCAGTTTATGGCAAACAACTGGGTGTTTCACCATTAATTATGGGCAGTATAACTGCAATTTTACCTCTGCTATTTCTGATCGCAAACCAGCAATCGGCTTTGTTGTAGACTATTTTTACGCCTGGAGAAAATTAATATTTATAGCATTGCTTGCTGTAACAAGTGGCTGTTACATTTTGATGTACTTTTACCAGTATTGCCGGGTCCGATGCTACCAGATCATCAGTTTCAAAACATCTCGTGCGCATCCTTGCCATTTTGCGATATAGATTATGTAAGTTTTTATATTTACAATATTTTTTTATTAATAATGCAATAATATTAAAATTCCTATGTGTGAAATATTACTTATTAAAAAAAAATTTATCTACATTTATAAATTTATTTTTATATAAATCTAAACATATTTTAAATATTTTTAACTTAAACGTTTCAAAGTATTATTTCTTATTTATTTAAGCATGCTTCAGCAATCATATCATGTAACGGTACAAAAGATACCATGTGCTATTGGACATGCAAGGATACAAATTTTTCCACGCAAGTATCTTTTTATGCAGTTAGAGGAGAAGCATTTATCTCACCGGATACTACATGCCTATTAAATGTCAATGAAACGTCACCGTGCCAAGAAAATATATCAAATAATTGCAATGTTACCTGTGATAATTTCGAGGATACTCGTTGTCTATATACTTCTATTACTTTCTGGGGATTTGTCCTTTTAATGTCTCTTGGCAATATTGGTTTAATGTTTCCAATTGTATAAGCGATGCAGTTTGCTTTGACATATTGGGTAAGTGTTTTTATAGTATATTTCAATAAGACAAAATATAAAAGTATTATTTGCATGTAATTTGCAATTAACTGTACAATTTTATATATTAATATCACGAAAAGAAGGAAGAATATTCACTAAAGTTATGTGCTCTCAGGTGAAGGTGGACAAATGGGATATGGTAGGCAACGAGTATGGGGTACGGTCGGTTTTGGAATTGCAGCATTTCTAGCTGGCTACACAGTGGACTTGTGGTCGCAAGGAGAAATCTATAAGACTTATACGCCAGCGTTTCTTCTTGTGCTTGCATTTACTTCTGCTGATTTAATCTGCTGTAGAAAATTGGAGGTAATTATTATTATTCTATAGGTATTATAAATTGAGAAGAGAATAAATAGAAAAAAAGAAACAATAGAGAAAAAGAAAAAGAATTTCATTCATATTATATTAATTTCATGTCTCCTCATTGTATATTTTTGTTACAGCTGCCACTCATGTCAAGTTCGACAAGTATATTGAAGGATGTATGTGCGCTTTTGAAATTGAAACCTATCGTTATATTTTTGTGTTTTGCTACCCTCGCCGGTATTCTTGATAGCTTCATGATTTACTTTTTATTTTGGTAAAATTCTATTTTTATCAATATGTTTCATTATATTTTTGTCCATTTTCCTGTTATTTAATAGAAATATAAATAGAATTATATTATACTATTTAATTTTTTTATTACTAGGTATTTAGAAGATCTTGCTATGGCAACTGGTTATATGGGTGAAATTAAATTAATAGAGGGATTAACTGTAGCTGCAGAAACTCTCGGTGGCGAGATAATATTCTTCTCATTATCTGGTAATGTAAAAAATATTTTTGTATCATAATTTTTGTATCAACATTTTGTACGCTACATAAATGACAATTGTATAATTGTACATATTTACGTTCTATAAATATAAATCTAATATAAAATTTCTTCTTTTGTCAGGTAAAATATTGAAGAAATTTGGATATGGTTACACCTTTACATTCTGCTTTGTATGCTACGCATTGCGTCTAGGATTAATATCTCTTGTACCAACACCATGGTGGGTGCTTCCAGTGGAATTTTTCATGCAGGGACCAACATACGCGCTCTGCTACACGACAATAGTAGCATATGCGAGCACGATTTCACCACCCGGTACATCAGCCACAGTTCAAGGAATTGTGGCAGGGATGGACGATGGTTTCGGTAAGAATTTATTATTCAATTATACCAAGAATTGTTTTATAACGCAAATTTTTTTGTGATAGTATGAATTTATATTTTGGCAGTTCTAGTAAAAATTCTTGAAATGTTTTATATTCTTTCAGGATTTGCGGTTGGTAGTTTAATAGGAGGTATCTTGTACAAGAAAGTTGGTGGTGCAATCACTTTAAGAATATTTTCAGCGCTTGCAGCATTTTCTGCATTAATGTATCTCATTCTTCACAATATGTACTTAAAACATAATACACCAGGTAAAGATATGCGATTCATAAATAATTTGTAAATCGCCAAAATGTGTTCAAAATATTGTAAAAAAGTGATCTTTTATTGCAGACACACGAAATAATGTTGAATGGAGAAAGCCTGATGATGCACAAAGACATTGTGATGTAGCAGAAACGTAATTTTTTATACAATTTTTATAAATTTTCTAAATATAAAAAATAAGAAAAAACATTATTTTCTTACATATATATATATATATATTTTTTTTTTTTTTTTTTTTTAGAAATACATATCTCAAGTTAAGATACTTAACGCAAGAGATTAGAGATATTATTAAAATGTGAAAATAAAATTAGAAAATTGATTATGTAATAAATTTTATTTTTTACTCAATTAATGACATTATCAATGAATATACTTAACTCGATCATTAATTTTTAAATATACAATTTTTAAAAAATATATTACCCATATGTGTCTTGAAACACGTGATCCCTCTTATGACGTATCACATGATTTAGACGTATCACGTGACAGCACAAAAAAAATACAGTTTACGACGCGTTTAGGTTATATGTGAGGTGAAACTTGAAGTATATTGAAGATGTTAAAAAGAAAAATGAACGACGTAGCATGCGAAATTAAATCGTGATACTTCATTTCGATATGGATGCAATGAAAAAACAAAGAGGAATAAGATACGCATAATATAAAAATGACAGATACTTTATATTTGCATACCTTGCCGTACGAAGTGTTGCTACTAATTTTTGATTTTTGCGATGGTTACGATCTGCTGCGACTCAGCAATGTATGCAAGCGATTTTATGATATCGTATGCTCGGACACGGTTTGGATCAAAAAGATCAGAGGATTTCTTATTACGAATCAAATATCAGAAGATTTCGTAGGAGGTGCGTTTGTATAGGTTATACATGAATTTAACTTACTTAGAAATATAATATTCTTTAAATAACAATAATCAAATAATTATTCAAATTAAGCATTTATTCTCTTTTGTTGTGTGTTGTTTTTGACACTAATATTAAGCTCTTTTTTTATGTATTTAATTAATATTAAATAAATATTTATAAGATGCACTTAATATTTACAATCTGGAAAATCATAAATCCTTGTGATAATCCTAATATAAGGATATTTTAAAGATTACATATTTTATTTCTCAGATGTAATCCAGTATTATCATCCCCACGCACTATGTTGCGCATATTAACAATTGGCAATATGGAAGATATAAGTGGAAAAATATAAAACCGTGTAGAGTGAATGTGATGCCATGGCTGCAAATGACAAGTAATTCTATCTGGTGGAGTGGTGGTTATCAGCTTTGTGGTTTTAAACGTAGTTCAAACTATTTTAAAAAGAAACACAATGATCATGATAATTGTTTTTATCAAAATGTGTGCGAAACAGATATTTGCAAATTTGTTCTTTATAAAAATTCCCTTATAAGTGGTCATAGGTGCGTATTTAGGTACAAATACTGTTTAAACTTTGCTTTTTTCCACAATAAAACTTCTTTGCAAAACTCTTCATAGCAATGGTGATATACAATATTGGCGAGATATATATCACATGGTTATCCCAGTAGTATAAGGAAACTTAAGTGTTCTCATGCTTGCGACATTAATGGCATA